TGAGTTACGTACGACGGCGCCGAATCTGTGAGAGACTCGGCACATGCCAGTGGTCAGCTCAGCTGGAAGCCACCGGGGTGAATGACCCCCGCCGGCCCGTCCCTCGAATTCCTCCGTCACCATGCAGGGTTTCTTTTCCCAGAAAGTGAAACTAATCCCCAGACGAGGCCCGATTTTCCGAAGGACTGTCGAACCCTTCAGCTGACTGCGGATTGAGGCCTTGCTGCTCTGTTGTGCGGTTGATTTGACCCAGGTTTCTGGCCGGGGTCTGTTCATGGAATTGGCACACGTCGTAAATATAGTTTGACAGAGAAATCGATGAGCTCTGCCGCAAGAGGATGGCTGGATGACCAACACCAAAGCTTATTGGGATGGGCTGAGCAGCGAGCAGCTTGGGAATAAAACAATGAATGACATGTTTCTGCAGTTCAGCTCTTGCAATCGTTTGACTGCTGATTTTCCCAATCGGCGGTTGAATTTCCCCGATTCACCACCGATTTTTTCACCCGATTCGGCCAATGTTCATGGCTATCGCCTATCAGTCCGCTTGACTGCCCCGGTAAAACCGTTTAACCCCTCGGACCAACCGGCTTCCAATCTTTGACCGTCACCTTCTATTTAAGTTTATCCCCATCTCCGCTCTTTGCGCGCCGTTTCACTGCTATTAATTGACCACTGAACTCGTTCCGTTTCAGTGCTGAAGACGGGAGCCTCCGGGCTGATCGCGTACAGACTCCAAACCAAGGACCTCAACTGGCAGTGGCTGCAGACCTCCAGCCGGCTCGTCTACAAAAACTCCAAACCCGACTTCATCATTTCAACGCACCGGCCTCTGCTGTAAGTCGCTAACCATCAGTCAACCCTGCGTGGGGCTGTAAGTGAGGCTAAATGGGCATCATGATACCATTTCGCCAAGCTGACGTAGGTCACTACCGTTAGGTATTTGCTCAAATCAAGACATCCATTCCAGGGAGCGGTGATAGGAATCGCAGTTGAACGGTGGGTAATAAGTCGGTATTTAGCGAGGCGTGGGTTGCATGTTGGAACAAAAAGCTGGCTGGATCCTCCCGTAAGGGGTTGGAGGATCAGTGGAGCTCATGCATTCACCCCAGGGCGTCACAGCCTTAGTGCATTGCGCCAGTTATGCCAATATGACTGACGAATGGCGCAGAGCCGCTCAGCTGAGTCACCGCAGTGACTCCCTCGGGCAGATACCTCATGACTCACCGCATGAATGACTCATTGATGAGTCCCCCAAGGAGGAGTTTGCTGGTCAAAATGGCACCTCCTCCCCCTCCCTCCGCTCGCGTTTCTCTGATGATGCAGGTGCAATGGAACAATGGGCGGGCGCGCGCTGCCCTTTTTATATCATCGCCCGGATGAGCGGCTGCCTGTGCCATTGTGGTCAGTTTCTGCCTCGCCACTGGCGCCGCGCGGACCGGCGCGGTGGCGAGCGCAGTGATGCGATTTAGCCTTAATTCGTGTCCGTAGCTTACCGCGGCGCCTTCCTAGTTTTCAAAGTCACGAACGGGGCAAGCTAAAAAGGCATAGTTCTGCGGTTTGCCGACAGAAGCTCACCCGCTGAACCCATCACTGTCAGTCTGTCAGAGGTATCTCACAGCCGACTGACTTAGCTGAATGTGAGAAGGTTAGAATGTGTTTATCCGCTTGCTGCATGGGTGAACGCTATAAGAAACTTTGCCACGTGCGCCCGTCAAATAATCTAGTGGAAGCAGCTGAATGGGGAAGTGTACACGCCATCCAATGCTATATCACTATCATATGCAGGGATGACCACCATAGAGACACACCAGCTGACTGACCTTCCGGTCTTCCCCAGGGAGGAGGAGGGTCGCGACCTCCTCGGAAAGCGCACCATGGACTTCAAGGTCAGCTACCTGGACCCGGGCCTGACCTCGCAGTACCTCTACGACGGCGAGGTGGGTGCCAGCGGCACCGCCGGCCGCGGCAACCGCCGCTACAAGACCCAGCTGCGCGACTTCCTCAGCACGTGCCGCACCAAGAGGAAGCTGACCCCCGAGTACCCGGCCGACCCGGCCGCCTACAACAGCTACGCGGCGGCGGCCGGCGTCTACCCGGCGGCGGCGACCTCTTACACGGACCCAGCGGCGGCGGCGCTCTACCAGCAGAATCTGCCCAACTTCCAGAATCTCTACCCTCCCATAGAGAACCGCTTCCTGGCCACAGACAGCCTGTATTACCGGCAGCTGGGCGGCTACTACCCGGACTATATGCACCACGGTAGCTATAACGGCTTTGTGGATGTCGGACGCACGTGCCTTCCCACGTACGAGACCTCGCAGCTGGCCAAGCCAGGCGAGTACGGGTGTCAGCTGGACGCCACCAAGTACGCCACCGACCGTTCGTACCTGCCGAAAACGGCCTACTATGACGGCTACCCTGGTGGCGCGCTGCTGAACGCCAGTTTGGCCAGTTCGCCGATAGGTGGCACCTCACTCAGCGGGCTCGGCTCGGCGGCCAGCGCCAGCCTCCAGCAGGGTTTCGGCAGCACGCCCGAGCGAGACCCGCGCCACACACCCGACGGCAAGAAACACGACGGCGACGTCAGCCCGGACATGAAGGCGGCGTCGGCGGCCGGCGCCGCCTACTCGACCGCCAACGACACGCGGCAGACGGTGCTGATGTGGGGCAGCGCGCATGCGCCGCGGCCCAACGCCACGCATGTCATCTGCTCGCCGAGCGGCACCTCCGCGCCGGCGCACTACACGCACAGCAGCGCGGCGTACGGGCCGCAGTCGCCGCCGTACGGGGAGCGGCCGCCGCCGCCGCCGCCCTCCGCGCCCGGCGCCGCCGACCCCATCAAGTCGATGACCGACATGTCAGCGGCGTGCAAGTGGGCGCCCAAGGGCGGCGGCTCGCCGGGACCGGGCCAGCCGACGGCCTCCAAGCCGCCGGCGTATCCGTCCGGGTATGGGGAGCCGGCGGCGCCCGAGGTGTGGGCGCCCTACTCGTCACTCAGCTACAATCCCGCACAGTGAGTGGCGGTGCGGGACGGGATAGGGGGAGAGGAATATGGAGAGGGAGGCGGCAGAGGAGAAGAGAACAAGGAGAGGGAGGGAGGGAGGGAGGGAGGGAACGCCAGAGGAGAAAGAGTGGTGACGATAGGGGTAGGGAAAAGTAAAACATTTCGATTTGCCTCAGTCTTCAGAGAAAACAGGCACGGCCTGTTATTCCAAACTTCACAAACTTCAAAGATTCTTGGTTCTGGAGCACTTATGATTAGCATCATTGTTCTTACAACGGAAACGGAAGGCAAAGCGCATTTGTTGGTGAGCGTTGCTGTTTACACAGCACACAGCTATCTCGGCCACCTGTCGCCTCCTAACTACACCCCCTCAGCCCCCTGACCTCCCCCGCCTCCTGTCTCAGGTCGTCCGAAGGTTATGCCGGCGCGGCCCAGAGGAACGGCACCCTGTGCTGTCCTACGCTGAGGTAACCGACACCTCCCCGTCACCGCTCTGCGCCCTGAGCAGGTGAGAAACGCACCCACACGCGGGCTCATTTCTTACCTGAGGAGGGCGCGGCCGCACGCTCAGGGTTTCAGAATTGTCTGCTTTGTAACGATCATTTCAGCTATACCGACTACATTTCTGGAATGCTTGCGTTTGTCAGCTGCGGGCCTGCGGCGGTCGTATTTTGCTTTTGTTTTTAGCCGAGTAACGGTAAATGTGAATAGTCGGTTCTCTTTGTTCCTATCCTACTTCAAATCGAAGGAATGGACGCTGCATCCAGAGCTATAATTTGTTAGCGTATGACACTCGTTTGAGTTTGACATTTATTTTTTTAGCTCTTGACTAACGTGTTTCCCGCTCTTGTTCCCAGATGGCATTAGTGTACATTGCAGTTGGGTCTGCGCGGCCCGGGAGCGCCTTGGAAGAGACGGCCACGAACAATTGAATGGGAGATGCTCTCCACTGCGAGGGACAGAGTGAAAGAGAGAGAGCGAGAGTGAGCGAGAACGAGGGACGGAGTGGCAAGACCGGATCTAGTCAGGGGTCGACAGTGCGTGTGAGAAGAGCTTACCTACTTCTTACCCCGAACGGGGACAAGTGCTAGTTCGGCGACCGGCCGCTAGGTGGCGAGTGATAGTTCGCCGCGCGGCCGCGGCGCGGCGCTGCCGTCGTGTCACCGCGCGGGGCCGACAGCCTGTTGAGAGCTGTATATTGCTTGTTGCTTTCTCGACGACGAATTACAATGACGCATGTGTCGCAGTTGAGACGTACGTGGCGCATATGACGGCCATGTGAAAATTGTGACGCAAGTTGGATGTGTTCCGTTTGCTGAGTTTCCCCTCCATAATGCGCAGCATTTGGCGTGAATTCCATACGCGCGTTACTCCGGCACTGACAAGTCGTGATTGGTAGGCAGCCGGTGTCCAATTCAGAGGTGAAATTTTGTTACAGCATGTTGTTACGTCATAATAAATAAGTAAATGTCTTACTATTTTCATCGACTGTTTCTATGCGCCCCGACTAACTGGACAGCTGGATTCGTTCGCTTCGTTTGAGGGGGAACACTCTGGCAAAGGGACAATATCAGATTTGTATGCTGGAAAGCCTGGCTCAAAGCATTGGGTCGTCTTTGAATACACCTAAACGGTGGAATACACCCCTCGCAGGTGGCAGCCCTAGGCGAAAGGCCAATTGATCGAAATAAAACGCGAGCCATACTGACTAGTTCGTCATGCCTGGCAAGGCGATTTCCCCGGAAATTTTGCGATTCAAGACAACTGAGCTTGCATAGTAAAAATAGACAGTGTACATTACGTTAGCCGATGTCCCAGACGCCACGAACACTACTGGAATCGCACCGATAACGTAATTTCAGCGACCTAGAAACTAGTTCCGGCGTTCAAGTACCAACCAAGCCGTCCCAGGGAAGATTAAAACAACGCAAACGGCACCCCCCCCCCCCCCCGCCATTGGGAATGTACCCAGAACAATCAGAGAGACTTAGTGTAACACCTTTCAGAATGTATTCGGTCCAATCACATTGTACAATTAGTCCTCGACAGAGGCAGGTCACACAGCAAAACAGCGAAAAATCGCACCGAAGCAGCGCAACGCAACAAAATCTGGATACAAAATGATGAGATGACACGGCGTGCTACACAGAAATGACTAACTAGCTAGGCACCTAAGGTGCCTACGCATGGTGACTACGATGAATGCAACAGCTGAGTCCTGAGGCTAATGACATCACACGGCGGCGGAGTCTGATTGGACGACAGCAGCCGCTGCAGCTGCGGCGGTCGACAGCTAGGACCAGGGGACTGTTCGTGTGGATCACCGCAACAAAGCCTGACACCACAGTCTTTTTCCAAGCCACACTGAAACGTGGGCGATTCCCTATTCGCTAAGCAGTCTACGTGAATCTACTTTTTTGGTGTCATTTTTATGAAAACGCTTGAATGCACTTCCATTTTATGCACATTACAAACTACAAAGCCTAGCTTTTTCTGGGTTTTATCGTGAAGTGGCTCACATTACATGCCACCTTCTTCATGATTTGACATTTGTATGGTTTGACATTTGTTTGCCCCCCCCCCCCCCCGCCTACACTCTACAGAAGCCACAGCCCAAAGAAGAGGACGCCACAACCCAACGATCAGGGGAGCAAACGAGTTTCGCCTAACCCGCTGACACTGCGCGAGCCCCAGCCAGGTCACAAGCCCCGGACATAGCGAGCCCAGACTCCGGCACAAGCAATATTTACGGCACTACAATCATGTTTTGTGGCTTTTATAGTACGTGGATGCCTGGATGAGTATTAAGTGGCTTGTTGGAAATTGAGAAGCGGCTTTGCCAGCTGACGCTTTTAGGGGTATATAATGCCGAGGGGTTGTGACATTGACAAGGCTATCACCATTTTTAAACCCTCCACACAATGCAGAGTTTGACCTGGTCATCTGACAATGGAGCGGTCAGAGTCCCTCGCCGTCTCCACGGGTAACGTTTGGCTCCACGGGAGCCACTCAGTCGCGATTTCACCTCTGCGCGTACAGTCCGATCACCATTGGGAAGACACGGAGCGACATGAGCTGAACGAGCACACAGGCCGAATGAGAGTGTCCTAGACAGACCCCTGGCTTTTCCACACAGCGGAGGAGGGAGTGAACCCCTCGGGAGCCTCTCCCCGCCAGACTCACGCCGCCAGTCGTCCGTTCCCACTCCTCGCTCTCCCTCTCCCACCCTCTCTCTCCTCTAACAGATCCCAGTTCATCCCTCAGTCTACCTCACCCTCCCAGCGAATGAGAGCGACACCACAGTACCCTCCGGCCTCTCCCCCACCGCCCCGCCGGCCGCCGGCGGTCCTCTGCAGTCGGCCCCGCCGCCACCTACTTGTGTTTCCTTCGCTTCATTGAGGCGGTGCACTGCGGGCAGTACCACTTGCCCTTGGGCGGCGCCGTGATCCCCACGCACGCGTAGTGGAACCACTCGAACGGACACTGCCGGAAAGAGATTGTGAGTTAGTGAGGTAGGGTCGAGAAGACGAACACAGCAGGCTTATCATTCGCCTAAAATGTTATATCTCATGGGGTTATAGTTAGGAGTGCATGAAATATCTGTATTTGGTTTCCACCTTAGCACAGCTACCTCATAGCACGTTCAACAGTTTCTACTCCATAGTTTTATTTAGGTTAGACCTCACTGTAAACGTTTCTTGCAAGCTGAATTACTGAGAAAACTTGTTAGCATATAATGAATTTCACAGACGATCAACATTATCAAAATTATTTCTTCCTGGCTCCTATTTCCCTGACTCTCAGCTCGTATTTACCCCCATATTAACAACCCCACACGGAATGATAGACAATTTGTCAGGAATAATAACTGAACTTAATGCTAAATAGTAAATCACATGCAGTGGCGGATCCAAGGGGGGGGGGTCATATATTGGGTCATGACCCCCCCCCCCCCCACTTGGGGCCCGGAGCACCACAGGCCTGCCAGGGGCACCACAGGCCTGCCAGGGGCACCACCGGCCTATCAGGGGCACCACAGGCCTATCAGGGGTACCACAGGTCCGCCATGGGCACCATAAGACTAGCAGGGGCAACACAGGCATGTCAGGGGCACCACCGGCCTCGCAAGGGCACCATGGGCCTGTTAGGGGCACCAAGGACCTGTCGTTGGCACTTCAGGCTTGTCAGGGGCACCACAGTCCTTCCAGGGGCACCACAAACCTGCCAGGGGCACCTGCGGCCTAGCAGGGAGCCAGTGCCGGCGGATTGCATTTTTGAAAGGGTGGGCAAGATATCGTGGGGGGCCTCCTGGCGAAAAAGGGCCTTTTGTGTATAGGGGCCTCCTAGATCTGGTGAGTGAACCAACGGAGGGGTAAACGTGTATCACCGAAGTAAACCAACTAGCATAATCTGCTCTACAAGCATATTTTTTTTCCGCCAGCCAATTCAACGAAAACAACATTCAAAATTGTAGTCAGCGGCGTGTTTAGAATATCGCGAAGGAAGGGGGGGGAGCAAAGGTTAGGAGGGCGCCACCTCACCCAAGGAGGGCGCCGTATGTACGGTGGCGATATAAAAAAAAAAATCCTTAGCGATCGCTCAGGAGGGGGGGGGAGCGTTTTTACCACGCCACCAGCTTTTTTTGCGTATGTAAGGAAAGCGGCAACGCGCAGTGCTGCGAAACTTGGTATCGGGTTAATATCACACGCGACAAAAAGGTTGCAAACGATTGGCATGTGGGTACCAAATTTCTTTCGACCATACGTTCTTTAAATGCCGCGCCGAAGTCCCGTAGAATTGTAAAAAAACAACCTTTTTCTGCTTTTTAGGCACACCTGTTATGCATTCACCATTCGAAGCTTTTCTTGTCCCTTTAGCAAAGTTAAGGTTAAAATAAAGGTTGGTGGAGACGTTCTGCCCATGGGTGACGGTGTAGAAAAAGTTTATTGGTGACGGCATCCACACCAAATCACCGTATCGAATCGACACCGGAGCAAGAGATGCGAAAGCATGCAAGCTCACAGCGAGAATGCAGCAGCATAGCAGCAACAATCTTCAGAAACACCAGTCATGGTTGTAAAATCAATATCAGTTAAGACCAAGACGGGTTTCATCCATGTTAGAGCGTAAATAGCTTTGGCAGGTATATAGGGTAAGGTGCCTAATTAGCGACCCTTTCCGATTTGCGACCTACCTCCCTACAGAAACTGACAGGAGAAAACGGGGTAAAAACATCGTCAAAAGGTCACCCATACTTTGGTTATCAAATTAGATTATTTTCCGGTCGTCGATGTTTCTAGTGGGACGTTTCAGGTGAGTTTAAATAAAAATGACGAGTTTCTTATCCAAAACGTGTGTGTTTGGGCCCTCTCTGATGAAAAGCGATGCACATTAGGATGATGCACCTTTTTTATTCTGAATCGACATTCCTTTTTTAATTGATTGCCGTTTTCCCATAGTGAATCGCTCAACTGTGCACAGCATGGCGGTTAAAAATGTGTCGCAACTCATCTACCTTTACTATTTGAGGAGGGTGAGTCTGTCCGTTACCGAGGTCCCGACTTGGTCGTGCTTTGCGTGGACTACAAGTCAGACCGTTGCACCTAGCGCGCTGAAATTTGCACAACTTATAGATCAAGGATGCGCGACGTGCCTTTGAGGGGTCTCAGCTCGATCGGATTGGTAGGGAGCGCGTGGCGCGTGCTCAAAAAGTGCGAATTCGCGTCATAGACTTTACATGTATAAATCGGCTTGCAAAATCGGGCGAAAATGGCTAAATTTGCCCCACACGGGTCCGATCCCCGTGCAACATCTCGGTAACCGTGCGCCCGATCGGCACGGGGAAAACAGCATCGTGTAGAGAATCGAATGGGCTATTGAATGGTGTGCGTTGCAGGGGATGGCACGCGCCACGTGCCCCTATGAGGATACTTTTATTGAAAAATTGCCGTTTTTTGACGGATTTTGGGATTAATTTTATTTTTAGTTGACCGTTAAACGGAGCGAGTTGGAACAACGCCTGTTGGGAAGAGAAATGTACCGCCTCTCATGGGAAAATTGTGAAAAGCTAATTGATCCAAATCAAGGTGGTACAAATCACGGGAGAAAATAGTGTTTGTCAATTTTGTGCCACTTCATTAATCACACGGGTTTTCCTCAATGATCTGATATCTCTGGCAATTAAAAATGGCACCGTTGGAAAGAGCATTGAATTCTGTCCAAGGCTCAGTCTTCATTTTTGCATTATGAATAACAGTATTCTTAATAATGCAAATGTTCTAAACCATTACATTGTCATTTTTAGCGAAATTCATCGATGGCCATACCCTGCGATGGCCCTCAAAAGATTTCACGCCAGTTTTCGAATCATTCTAAAGTAGAACGCATGATAATACCAAGAACATAGATAATACGACACGGGCACCTCGATGCGATGTATCTTTTTGTTTTCTTACAAAATGCTTGGCCGTCAAAAAGCAATCGAACGAAGTGGATACCAACCAAATCGACACAGACGAACCCAATATCCACAGGTCAAAAAATCCCCCCTTCGCGTTGCGGAGCACGCGGGTAAGCCTAGTAGGGGAGAGTGGTGCAGGAGGCCCCCCCTTAAGCTCAGTTACTATTTTTAGACAACTCATAATATTTAAGCGCTAACGTGTGCATGCGCTGTGAGCATGCATCATTTTCCCATACATATTTGCATTCAAAATGAATCTAGGGGGTACAAAAACCGTAAACTTTAACATTTTGGAAAAAGTTGCAAAAGGGCCTCTTACACTATGGGTATGGTAAGACGCCCCCCCCCCCTCGGGCGTTTTAAAAGTCAAGTCGACTTGTAAAAGACGCTTTGCGAACACAGCTGCAAGGCCTTTTATTTCGAAAAGCTAAGCAAATACGGTGTTATCGAAACCAATAACACTTCCAAAGCGCTCGAACAATGCGAAAACTAGCACAACCAAACGCTGATGACCAACGAAAATTGTACCTTTAACCTCTAAGAAAAGAAACAGAAAAAAAGAAACAAAAACAAACTCCTTGAAAAAAGAATGCCACGCCTGCCGCAGGTGCAGGCGTTTTAGCATCGGGGGCGTTTTTTATCGGGGGGCGTTTTATCATCCTCGAAGGGAGGGCCTCTTAAAAAAATACAGTGTTTTAACGTCCACAATATTTATGGTTTATGAGACATTTGCAGCGCACCAGAACATGGTCTATTCTGAAGCTAACATGTGACAATTTCGATGAGAAAAGATTGCATTTGATAGCCATTGTTTTTTCAGATATATAAGGGTGATAAAGATGCATATTTCTAGCAAGTAAAGGGGCAAAAACAGAAACAGGCTTACCAAAAGTCGCTGCGACGCACCTGATACCTCAGGTTTCGTGAGTTGTTGTTTCAAGAGGGCTTCTGCTTTACAAGAACATTAAAAAATAAATAACATTATTGGTTTGGTAAAAAAAGCGATGGGGCCTCTTACCGACCCTGGGCGTCTTACACGGATCTCCCCTATTTCCTATTTGCGCCTGGCATGGTCGCAAATAGCTCAAGAAGGGAAAGAAAGGGGAAAAGAGAGAAATGAAAATGAGGTGTTGCTGAAGCTTGCAATGTGTGGCAGGGGATGCCAAATGTCGTCACCGACTGCAGGAGTGCCGAATTCAGCGCGGACCTCGAATATCATACAAGATAGCCTGCAAAATTTGGGTTTCCGCCTTCTTTTCGCCTTCGGTGGATCACGTGATCAGTTTTTACTTACGTAAATGTGTTGGATAAACGTTCCTGTTCGAGTTATTGAGTGCTTTGCGTATAGGTTACCTTCTTGAGATCATATTTCATCTTTTCAGGCGTCGCATTTTTTGCCATTTTTAATATGGGGAAACCCATAGACTTATTAGCGACCCTCCCCGGTCGCTAATCGGGAAGAGTTCCCTATTAGCGTTTTTTGCAACGGTTTGCCAAAATGCTCACTACAAATGAGTTAGTGAATATTGGGGCAGAAAATGACTATATTTTAATAGAAAAATGAACGATCTCTCCGAAAATCAAGCCAGTAACACAGTGGCACCCACAGAGCGTAAGCAATTACGGTTCAAATTAAGGGGGTCGCTAATTAGGCACCTTACCCTATAGGAGTCGGCATTAATTCAAAGTGTGTCAACCATAAGGGGCTTTTACACCTTCGGAGGGGTGATTTGCGGTCTGGGTGTGTACTTGTGATGAGTTGTGAACTTTTGTACCATTTTGATTTTGTATTATAGGAAGCTAGCACTGACGAAGATATATTCGAAAGGCGTTTGCAAATGCTTGCTTTAATACAGTACCTTTATATTTAAAAAAGTTTCACTTATCTACTCATACATTTGGTAGGTATACTTCATTCATTGTGCTGAATACACGTTCCATTGTATCAGTTTTCCCAGGCAATGCATCACATTGTGCAAGAGAACGGCTATGCTGGGAAACATACTTAAAGGGACCCTCCCAC